TCACAAAGAAGACTGTGGTCCTAGTAGTTGTTCCCACGGTTATGTCCAGTAGCATTACCCCTTTAGCTGAAGTTGATCATCCATTAAAACATGTGAGAATAACTTCTGTTGGGATCATATCGCTTTATGTCTTTACAAATTTCCTCATCATCCTAGACGGGATGGTATTTATGGCTGCTCCATTATCAATAAGCACCTTCGCCACAGATATACCATTGACTAAGGCCTTCGCATACAATGGCTTTAAATGTTTAGTTAATTTCATGGTTGGTCTCTTAAAGATGATATTTTCAGCTGCATCTATTTCCATTTCATGTTTATCCTCCATTGAATTATTTCCTTGTGACAGGCCCACGTGCAGTATTTCACATTGAGTTTTTGCTTCTTGGACTCCCTTCTCATTTTCTTCTAATGATTCTTCTTTGGTTATCCAACATGTGGGAGGAGGCAATATGTTTGGAGGTGACCCATATTTCTCAGAGCGAGACACTCTTTTCTTTCTCTTGGGTGTTCCGTATAACACATACCAGTCAAAAGAACGCCCAGATTGTTCTCCCAACATATCCACATCGCGAACACCTTCCCGATGTAGTTGCTTCAATAAAGTATTACGCCACACTCACCTTCTTTTTCTCTCTGCTTCTAAATCAATTTTCTCTTCAATGTCAGGTATGACATTGTCCTCTTCTTCATCATATACCTCCTGGAACGTTTGGCCTTCTTCACATTCCAGTGCACATGCTTCGTCCTCATTATCTTCCCTTTCCTCCTCTTCATTTTATTTATTTTTTAATTCATTGGCTAGTAAATAATTATTAGCCATAACATGAGGTAAGGTACCAAATTGGATGGTAAGGGGTTGCTCTGGATCTTCTTCATCTTTCTTTCAACGCTCAAACTTTGATCTCCCGAAGAAAATTTCTGGTAACTCTTCCATTGATTCGCCCATACAGGCCTCTTTACTATCTTCAAGAACATTTTTGTTGGTCAGGTCAAGCAATTTAGGTGCCTTAGGACGTGATGATCCATGATGTTGCCTCATCATTCGTCCATAGTTTCGTTAAAAATGCCTTTGTTGGTTCTGGTAATCTCATTGAAAGGTATAACATTTCCTGCATTATATTGGAATGAATGTCATAAATTTGGTTGGCGAGGTTGTGGCCTGAATGTTCTCCCATTGTTTATCTCCTAAACTGCCTTTTAAAAGGCGGTCCTCTATAGAATGATACACAACGTCCTCCATCAGGCTAGATATTTGAGATAATATCAAGGCGATGGTGATGTCGCCACATTCCTGGTTTTTCTATGTTTGCATTTACTTCTCCCTTGCATCTTGCACACAGGATACTTTCGTCTTCTCTAGGCTCTTTCCCTTTGATACGTTAAAAAACACTAGGATGTGACCCAGAATCTTCTTCTCCGTCATCTACAACCAACTTGAATCTTGGTAACTTATTTTTGAAACAAGTCGTTACCATGTTTACCTAAGTGGCTGTGGGAAAAGATTTTCATCCACTGCCATTTTCTTCTTAACCTCAAATGTGATTCGCCCTCACTCTATGGCATCCTGTAACACA